CTGCTCTAGTCGGTGTGTTGTCTTTTCCGAGCAACACATTATTATTACAAATCCGAAAGTGAAGATCTATCGCTGAGAAGAACACCATTCAGAATTTAGAGCTTGTTCAGAATTAAAATCTTACAAAAATCTTACGTCGCGCGGATTCTCACTTGTTTGTTTTTCTGTGTCCATATTAGAAGCGAAGCGTTTTTCACAATTTGTTGCACATAAGTAGCACAAGCACCAACACACGGATAACCAAAGAACAAAAAACACCCACAGATACACCGCACACGCACACACAAACACTCATTTACACACAGAGAGATACTGAGGCTAAAAGCAAAAGCACAGAAACATGTCTAAGGTTTGCCATAAATAAATGAGTCTGTTAGTGGCTGTCATAGTTTGTAGACCATAAGTCTAGTTCTCTACGGCTATTCAATAAGTGCTCATTCACTCGCCGCTAAAATAGAAATAGAAAACAGTAGATAATAAAAAGAACTACACCCTCGTAGAGGTAAATATTTAGTATTCGGTTGCACAATTCTGTGCACTCGCTGTTGCCTCTGCTTCTGACTGGCTTGGATGTCCCCCACAGAAGTCGACGACGCCTCCGATGGTTTATTCATGCTCATTGGATGCAACAATGCCGCCGCGTCCACAATTGCAAGCGGCGTCCATTATACAATACAGCATGTGTCGGCATTACATACATGCATATGTTGTTGTGTTCTGTGTCCAAGTTCTGGTCCGGGTCCTACCTCACGGTAGGGGGTTTCATTTGTCGCCTCATCAGCGTCCCATTGTCGCGGTTGTAATTCGTTTTCCACTGCCCCAAAAGCCGCAAAAAGAGATCTCATTCAGCCTAATGTTGTAGTATTCATTCTTGAAAGGCCACTTTTTGGGTATTGGTATTTCTAGTTTACTATTCTGCAAATCCTTTGAAAACATAACATGATCTAGTTTTCAAAGTTATTCCCATACATGTTAGGGACGATTCATTAAAATACCACAGATTAAATACATTCTTATAGGATCCATTGTATTCATGGAATAAAATATATCTCTGCTTACTTTTAGCTATATTTTTTGGATTCAAACAGTGATTTCAACATATCATTGTTTCATTACTACTATATATTGACCGCATATTTAATTCAAGTTTTCCTTCGCTTGAATAACCAGTATTCAGCTCGAATTGGAATAAGTTTATGATGTTTTACAAATAGTATTTAATCATGAAGAAACATCCAATGGTAAACATCCAATTTCTTGGAGTAAATATGTTTTTTAAATAGTCAGTGAGGAAATAACAAAATGATAAGAATTTATGACCTACAATACTATAGAGTGGAATTCTTTTAAAAGTTTATTTATTTGCCAAACTGTTATGCCTGTCAAATTTTCCTATTAACTTTTCGCTTCGAAGATTGAACATATGTATTTCACTTTACAATTGTACCCTTACACCTCTGATAGCAGACATTAAAGATGATTAAACATAATTGATTTCGAAATAGTAATAGATGAAAATTCGCCGTAATTAGTCTTCATTACTCAACCTCCAACCTGAGTTGTACTGAACCTCAGCCAGCGGTCCCACCTCTGCTGTCGTCTAATCAAACCTGCATTTGTCATGATTCCCATAAATGTTGTTTTGCTTTTATTAGCGAACATTTCGAGATAAGGTGCGATGGGGAGCGGTGACAAGACTCCACTTTAAAGTGGGAGAGCCCCTCTAGAACCTAGGAGCGGGCTAAGAGAACCTATGCCAATCAGGCAGCCAGGGCCAGACCGCAGAGTCAGCCCATCCGGGCGGGGATTGGATTCAATTTACAATGCGAAATCGATTTCCGTTTAATATGTCACAGGGAACGTCGCCAAAAGCTGACGGCCCCGCAGCTCCGCCCTGGGGAAAACATCGCGGGCAAAACATACGAAAAGGGGTGGCACTGGGTATGACGGATGTTGTCTGGAAGGGTGAGCTGGTGGCTGTGTGGGTGTGTGGGTGGAACATGGCCAAAGCCAAAGCCATCGCTAAAGCCGGAGCCAGGGCCAGGGCCAATGCCAGGGCTATAAGTTGGCTGGGCGCCGACTCCGCGTCTGCACAAAGGTCACGGCCACATCGCTGGCACACGCGCCTCTCCCAGCGCCGGCTCTGGGCGCTGTCCCTGGACAAAATGGTCATAAACAAAGTTGCAGTTTTGCAAATGCAAACGGGTGGTGCTTTTTGGGGTGGCATGTAGTAGGGACTTTGACTACTGCCAACCAAGTAAGCTGACTGCATGATGAACTTATATTATAAAATGCAAATTTATATCGGCAGCTCAACAATTCCTCGTTACACTCTCGCTGTTTTTGCTTTAACTTTTGTATGTCCCAGAGAAACCATATCTGACTTTGTTCTAATTTTTTTTTTAAATATTTATTTAATGCATTCATCCAACTAATTAAAGAAAGAGAAAGATAAACATCGTGCGTTTAAAAAATGGCGACTAGAAACTTCGTTGCACAAAGGGATGTCTGCGAAGATCCGGCTCGAAGGACCAAAATATGGCGCAGTGTTACAGACCCAAAAAGAAGAAGTATAGTAGTGTTATTAGGATATTCGCAGTTTTTATAGAGGCTAACAAAAGTTATATATAGAAGTAGTAAGACGTGATAGAGGGAGACCAGAAAGACATTATTCAAGATATCTTGTCGTAGGACAAGAAAGCAGGAAAATACAAACGTTTATTCTGGAACCTGGAATAGGAACATGAATGATGGCGTAGACACAATTAATTGAACCATGTGCCTCCCCATAATTCGGAAAATATCTCATCATTAGGAATTATTCACTTCCTCATAAATATCAAAAACCTAATATTGCATAAACATAAAGATTTCATGTAGTATAAAAATAAAGTCTATAGATATTTGTTGATTAACAGAAGCTCCTCAGGAGGTACTTCCACTAATCGTATATAAACAAATTTGCTTTATGATTTTAATATTTTATCCATTGAATCTTAACATCACCCATGCTTTTTTAAAATAGATTTTTGCGAGTGTATTTGGATTACTTGGCTGCCACATTACGTTCCATTTGTATGCCAAACGTCGATGAATCTGGGCAACAGGCAGCAGTAGTATTCTCGATATCTTCTGTTTTGACACCTGACTTCAGCAGTGGCGGCAGGTTCCTTCAGGTGACTGGCAGCCACCCAAGAGCTCCGTCAATCGGTTGGGACGACATTCGCGGGGTGAATTCATTGAGCAGATCGATCGTATCGCATCGTCATCCACGTTCCATGATCGCTTGCCCAGCAAATTGCTTAGCTCACCTTATAATTGACGATTTCTGTTGGTATTTTTACCATATTTCTCCCCTGCTTTTTGTTTACACTATTCGTGCGTACTTCAGGCGATTTTTGGCTTGGTTTAATACACGTTTGTTTAGACAATAAAAATTAATGAGCAGCGCCGTTCATTTGAAGTTCTTCGCGGGGCTTGACGATGATGTTTATGGCTAAAGTAAAATAATTATCGTTGAAGAGGTTGCGGTCGGCTGCGGGAATCGAATCAAGTGCAATTATTTTGATAATAAATGCAAACACTTGATGCGACTGCGGTAAAGCACATATTTCCTTAGTGATGGAAATATTAATATGAGAATTTTAATTTAAGAAAACTGTCCTTTTTTATTTAAGTTGCCTTATATTAATTTTACATTTTTGGGGTTTCTATTCATTTGATTATTATGAGTATGTCTTTAAATTATACAAAAATATAAATATTTAATTAGTATTTGCTAAATTTAAATTTAATGTTTGCAGATAAAAGTGCAGTTTGGAATAAATTATTCTTATAATCCTATAAATGCCATTATAAATCCGTAAAAGCACTTCAGACATTAGCTGTAATCTTGTTGGTGCCCAAAATGTGGGCCGCTTGGATATATCTGCAAGCGGATCAGAATATTTATAGGATACGCAGCCATAACTGCCACTTGCAGTCAGGTTGAGTGACAATTTAATGCAACTTAATCAGCATCTTGCGCCAGCTGGCCATTTCTGCTCGGCTGCGTTGACGTCACAGTGGCAATCGGACTGCAATTGGACAGCACTGGACAGGAGGACAGCTGGTTGGGTTGTTGGCATTTCAAGGGTTGTGTGCGCCTGCCTTGATTTGCATAGGAACCAAAGACCAACAAACAGGAAGACAGGGAGACAGGGGAATGCGCAGCAAAAGTCAGGAGGTAAAGCTCTTTGGCTCCACGACTTTTAACCGCCGCCGGAGCTCTGGAGCTCGGGAGCTCCGGAACAGAGCTTAATCAGTTTCGGGTGTGGGCGAGTGGAGCTTTCCCGGGTGCAACGCATCTCCTAGCGTATGCACAATGTTGCAGTGAATAACCACTGGTTGCAGTTGCCATATTACCAGCGATAGTGACGCACATTAATCCGGCTTGTAGGGAACACCAACGCTATTTGAAAGTAGTGAAACACCAGCACTTAATCACACCTTCGCCACTGAATTGATATCAAGTGAGGGAAAATCTATCTGTTGAGAAAAAACGTTTTACAGTGGAATTTAAAAAACCAAGGCTTGAAAAAAGAAATAGGGATTTACGGCTACAAAAAGCTGCACTATTTAAGCAATAAATTTTAACTAGCTTGAAAGCTTTAATAAACCACAATTTCTTTAAATAAATAAGGGTTTTGTTTTAAAAATATATTTATTTTTAAAGGCTTTAAGTTCAGAATCAATGTACAGTTCCTCGATATTATTCTAACTTACACTTTTATATGAAATTACATATATGTTATTTTTAAGAGAGAAATCCCCTTAGGTTGTTATTCATTACTCTAAAAAAATGATCTACAAACTATTAAAAAGGGCCCCACCTACACAGACTAACTTAAAAAAAACCTGCAATGCCATAAACATATATTTAGAGTCTTATATAATGAGAATCTAATACAATAAACCACATAAAATACTCACGATATGGTTTTTTGATATATTTCTGGCAGGAACAAGTCAAACTGGATGCCAGTAGACAGGTAATCAGCCCCGACGACTGCGACGATCTCAGCCCGATGCCACAGACAGCAGCTCCGCCCGTGCGCAGGCGCGGCGGCATATCCGCCGAGCCCGTTACCGAGGAGGATGCCGCCAATTACGTGAAGAAGGTGGTGCCCAAGGACTACAAAACGATGAACGCCCTGTCCAAGGCCATTGCCAAGAACGTGCTCTTTGCCCATCTGGACGAGAGCGAGCGCTCTGACATATTCGATGCCATGTTTCCAGTGAATCACATCGCCGGCGAGGACATCATAAGGCAGGGCGACGAGGGCGACAACTTCTACGTGATTGATGTGGGAGAGGTCGATGTGAGTAGTTGTCCAACTCTATATAAATCTTTTTATAATATGGAATCCCTAATTTTTGGCACCTCTTCTTATTCCCAGGTGTTTGTCAACGCAGAACTGGTGACCACCATCAGCGAGGGCGGCAGCTTCGGCGAGCTGGCCCTGATCTATGGCACTCCACGCGCTGCCACTGTGCGGGCCAAGACCGACGTGAAGCTGTGGGGCATCGACCGCGACTCCTACCGCCGCATCCTGATGGGCTCGACAATCCGCAAGCGCAAGATGTACGAGGAGTTCTTATCGCGCGTCTCCATCCTGGAGAGCCTGGACAAGTGGGAGCGCCTGACAGTGGCCGATTCCCTGGAGACGTGCTCCTTTGAGGATGGCGAGACGATCGTGAAGCAGGGAGCCGCTGGTGACGATTTCTACATCATCCTTGAGGGCTGTGCGGTGGTGCTGCAGCAACGTTCGGAGGTGAGTGACCGACCGAATTACCGGATCACCTGGAGATCCACCTAACAATGGCTTATCTAATCTCAGCAGGGCGAGGAACCCGCCGAGGTGGGGCGCCTGGGTAGCAGCGATTACTTTGGCGAGATTGCTTTGTTGTTGGACCGACCACGGGCGGCGACTGTCGTGGCCCGCGGGCCGCTCAAGTGCGTCAAGCTGGACCGGGCGAGGTAAGTATTGTAAATCAGTGTTGGCAGTTTTTGTTTATTGAGGGAAATATGTAAATAAGTTAACAGAAAAGATAACATTTCCAAATTTCTCAGCACAACTGACTCCCAAGACAATAGAATTTCGTTATTTGAAAGTTTTTCACAATTAAATGTAGGTTTTTTTTTTAAACTACACAAATCAACTCATAAACAGTTTTGATCATAGCTCGCAGATAATTGTTGACCAATTCGTGGAGTCGCAAAACAAGTGTTTCTCTCTGATTTTGAGCAGAGAGTCTGAAAGCAACAGATTGAATTTGATCGCGAATTTTTCGGTTCTCGGTCATTTACAGACCATTTGCTCTTGACTGATGATTCAAAAAAGTCTTCTGCTCTTACCACTATACTCCAAAAAGAAAAAAATTATTGCAACGACCGTTTGAGTTGACTTTTTCAGTCAATCGGTCTTTTAATAAAAATCTTTGTGCGAAAAAAACGAAGTTTTTTGCTCAGAAAGAGAACGAGGATACCTATATGTTTCTTTTTCGGTTGTTCTCACGGACAGAGCGTAAGGAAAATTGGTGAAACGGTCGACTCTATTTCGCTTTCGCATAAAAAACCATTTAAAACATAAGGAAAACAAAAATCGGGAAGTTTAGAGGTTGAGATGCCCACACTGATATAAATGTATTAAAAAACCTTTACAAATTATTAAATGTTATTTCGTTTTCTTGCCACAGATTCGAGCGTGTTCTGGGACCCTGCGCCGACATCCTCAAGCGCAACATCACGCAGTATAACAGTTTCGTTTCGTTGTCCGTCTAAGCAGCAGAAGCAGCAGCAGCAAACATTACAACAAATCAACCACAGCAAACAGTAGCAGCAGCAAAACCAACAACAGCAACAGCAACAATGCAGCGAACATGAAGAACAACCAGAAACTAACAAAACAAACAAACAAACCAACACGAAGACGAAGAGAAATAAGTGGATAATAAGAAAGAGGAGAGAAAACGCTCAGCAGCATAAATAACACAATTAACGTAAAATATTTAAGTGTGTAAAGTTAATTTGCAGCCAGGAGGCCAGGATATAAGATCGAGTTCTGTCAGAGATTCAGAATATTTCGAGGGCGCCGCGGGGCTGGATGGAATTAACAACAAAACAAAAATGTTAATTATCTGATTCTGTATGTTGTGCTGAAGTTAAATAATTGTGTATGTGTGTGTCTCTGTGTTAAGGTTGCGGCGGCATGTTCCCCCGCACCCCGCAACCCCCGCATCAGAGATAGTTTTCCCAGGCTTCACTCTATTATATACTTACATTTTCAACGACTTCTTGCGCTCTTCGCTCTATATATTTCTATAACTTAAGGAACATGCTGCCTCCCCAAAGCGAAAAAAGAAAGCAACAAAAAAAAATAAGAAAACAAAAACGTTTCATCAAGTATCCAACTGACATCTGAATGTTTTTTAAGCAAAGAAATAAGCATGATGAATATATAATAAGTGTAATAAATAAAATCAAACTTAAACATAAAGGCGCACCGAAAACACGCACACACACAATCACAGACAGACACACACACATACCCAGAATGAAGTCATATTTTTGTCTAGGTAAATGAAAGACGGAAAATGAGAAACAATTGTATTTCGCTTGTATGATGATTCGTTAGCAGAACGGCAGGAGTTCGGTAAACGTTTTTATTATTTTTTAATTTTAGTAAATTATTTTTAATCGTAAAGCTTAGTCAGCGACAGGCATTCAAAAATGGAAACCATAAATTGAGAATTAAAATCAAAAGAAAACGAATTGTTTTGCCATGTTTCTTGTTTCACCAACGAACGGCTTTCTTAACATAGTTTTATGATTTCGTTAAAGACTAACTAAGGCTTTTGGTTCCCAGCAACTGCCAGCTGCTAAAGAGCAGAAGTAGAAGAAGGATATTCCCTAGACCAGATGGGGCTGGAAAGCTTGCCCAAAATAAGAGAAAGAGAATGATGAATATATACAACATTTTTGTACTCGTTAGTATACTGTCATTCCTTGAGTTATTACTTTCTCTGAAATTTACGATAACAGACCAATATCAAGAGCCACTTTATTTTAAACTCTATTCGGTTTATGGAATATCCTTCTTGAAGCGAAGGTGGCCATGTGTGCGCTGCGTGTGTGTGTGAATTCGTGTGAATCCTTGCTGCATATATTACCCAAACGAGAAGTTGCATTTACCGCGCACTCTGACAAAAGCTAAGAAAAGAATCAGCCAACAAACCAATTTGTGTGTATATATATTTGTAAAGCTTATATCTGCTCGATAGATCATGGCGCATTATCTTAAGCTGTTGCTGCATCACACACACACCACACACACACACACCATACAACACACACCTATGAAGCTACATATACATAAATGCAAAAGGTTGAGCCTAGAAAGATTTGAAGGGGTCTGCGCAGTGTGCGGACCACGTCCACTTGGGGCGTCGAGGGACGACCCGCCGGCGGGTCAAGGATCAAATGGAGAAGCAAAAACAATAGGGGAATGCTAAATTAAACTCTAAACCGAATGCAGAGGTCAAGTGGGAAACAAAACAAAAAATACAAAAAAAAAAAAAGAACAACATAATATTATCAATGTAAAATCGTATGTAAAAGCCAAGGCAGAAAATTCTATAAAATTGACAAACAACAAAAAATGAACAAAAAATACAAAAGAGAAACTGAGAAATAAATACATTTACATAGATGTTGCAAAAGTCAAGCGATGCGATCCTCCCATGGATTCCCGCAGCCTTCTCTGTAGATTTGCGTCTCCTGTCAGTCTCCTGCCACAGCTTCTGGAACGGCCTCATGTTTCTGGACGCCATCTTCTTCATACCAACACTGTTCACCTACCTGCTCATTCTCCTGCTCGCCTGCATCCTGTGCTTCATCGTTGTCTACATCAGCCACAAGATCTATATCTCCATCTACGACAATCTGCCGCTGGCCGGGCTGCCCAACTCCCGCCTACAGGTGCGCCCCGCCTCCAACCATGCGATGACCGTGCGGGAATACCTGGAGTGCTCGTTGCGCTACCCGCGCTCCAATCAACCGAGCCTTCGCTCCATTTGGATCCAGAACCGCTCCCAGATTCTAGAGTCCTCCTCGGGTAAGATCACTGGTTGCTAGGTCTTCCTCCTCGCTACCTCCTGCTTCCTCCTCCCTCCATTAGCTCTGCGAATAGTGCTCTCCCTGGATCCCTGCTACCTGGTCAGCATAGAGTATAATGTGTCGCCCAGCCGGAGGTCCCTTAGTTTCCTGTGCAACTGCCATAGGGACGAGCCCGGCTGTGCCGCCCTCGAGCCCCAGCCCGCGGGCTCCATTCACGTTGTTCGGTACTATGACCACCTCTCCAAGATACCCCGCCTGCGTGTCATGCTCAAGTGCAACCAGCGGCGGTCGGAACCGCGGCCGGATAGCAGTACGCAGCTGTGGCGGGATGACGGTGTTCCGGAGGCGTGGGATCCTTCGTGTACGGACCCAGAGGCCGCCTGCCGGCCGCTCGGCCAGCGGATTACGCGGAACGCCCGGCAGCCGGAGTGAGGGAGTGGGGATTTCAGCTTCGGATGAGAGAGGGGTCAGAGAGCACAGCCATTAACTGGCTGTTGTGTGATGTGGGGCTGGAACTCGTTTTAATAAAGTGAATACAAAGATCAGGAGCTAGAGGTGGAGGTGACAGTGGAGGCTTCAGGGTCGACGGGTGGTCGGTCAGTGGGTCGGGCGCTGAGCTCACGACAGCTTATGGATATCGCGTGACAACTAGCGAAGGTGAAAGTCAGCACTCGAGCAGGGGCGTAGCCAGGGGAATAGCCACAGACCCCGGCAAGGAGCCGGAACCCCCTTGGATCTTCTTTGTTGTTTGGTTGTCGGAATATATAATTAACTTCTTGCTAGGGGAAACTCCTCAGTAAATTTGGAATTGATTCTAAATTTAGAAAATCTATTTTATGCTCAGAAAATGTATTTTACATTGGCATGATTAAAGTTCAGGCTGTAGGAGACATCGAATTATATTTTCCATTTTTTATCTGAGTTATCCCATTATTTTTTCTTACAAGTTAATCATTATATTGAACCAAAAATCAGTTCAAACTGAAATAAATTGAGTGTATTTATGCAAGTAAGTACTAGAGTTTTTCTTGGAGGATTTCCTAGAAAAGAATAAAGCATATTTTTTGGTTTTTTCCAATGATTCTTTCCATTAGATTACTATTGAAAAAGGTCATCTTTTTTCAACCTCTCAAATAGTTTCCCTCATATCACTCTAAGTAAATATTTGTGGCTACGCTTATGCCTTCTCATATCTCATATCTCTCCCAATCTCAATTTTGTATGGGCCATGTTTTGCAGGGCTTATCATTCTGACTGTGGAATTTGTTATCAATAGATAAAAACCCTCCAGACCGAGTGGAGGTGGCGACGGGGCTATCGCCGTATAATTGCCAAATCACATCGCCCCCACCCGAATCCCGCCACCAGGCGAGCGGAGAGACCCCAAGCAATTCGCCTGACGCCATTTCATTCTTTATTGACGCGGCCAATTAAGAAGGCAGCGCCGTTGCCTTGATTGCCTGGCGAATGGGTATGAATATGACTCTGGAATTCCATGGACTATAAATATAAAAATCAAGCTGGGCCCCAAAAAGTAGCCAGATGCGCTCGCCCGTAAGCTAGGAAAACATTTCTAATCTCGGCCCAAGTTACACAGATTTCACGAGTTGCACAAGAAGCTTATCATCACACACAAAAAACAAACTGGACTGGACGCAGCACAGCCGGTGGAATAGCAACAAACAACATCTACTACAGCAGCAGCGGTCTGGCAACGAAGCGTATACGTAATGGCAGGCAAAGTTCCATTCATTTAACGCGCTCGTTTCAGTTCTCGGGCAGGTGTCAAGCGACGCACACACACGGCACACGGCACAACGAGGCGCGGTATCAAATCCGAATCCGAATCCAGAATTCCATATACACACGCTATATATGCTCGGTTGGCTAATTAACATACAACGCGTAGCGCCCCCTCGTTGTCTCTTTACCCATACCTGAGCTGTCCGAAAGTTCAAATTGTCGTACGCACCACACACATCACATTTCTTTGCTCAGAAACTCCAGTGCAAAGTCAGGCGGAAATATTGAAAGGAGCAAATCTGGCAAATATAGAAGCGATCAAGATGCTGGACCCCATATCGGACACGCCGCTGGTCTTGGCCTACGTCTTCATGTCGCTGCTAGTGCTGATTGTGTGCTTCATAATGGTCAATGTGGTCCACAAGCTGTATCGCAGCCTCAACAACGACGGATCGCCGATTGTATCAGTCCCGCTGAAGACCGCCATAGCGGAGCTGGACGCCATGAAAACCGGTTAGCCAGCAACCAGAAGCCACCAGTCAGCTGCCAGCTGCCAGCGTGAGGCGCCGAGAATCGAATCTCAGTCGACGCTTCGGTTTTTTAATGCAGGCGATCGGAGCACCAGCAGGCAAGGCATGGCAGCTGCGCAATCCACAATCACACCCACTCGCACACATCGCCTGGTGATACAAACAGCAAAAGCAATTAGCCGTAGACAGCACGAAACTAGGCTTACACACAACTAGAAATTAACTTACTACCGCTGGTATCTAGTCACTTAATTGTTCATATTGCCCTAAGCTTAGGTTACACATTGATATTGTAAATAAAGGTATCTTGAGAGCGATAATGGCTGGACGAGCGGCAATTAAGGTAGATTGGGGGCAAGTACAAAGCACTTAACCGGTCGCCGGAATTGTAAACGTCGCCTGATCGCCGATCGATGATCGATGCGTAGAATGCCGTAGAATAGCGTAGACTGCCGCCTTATCGGTGCAGTATCGAGACGTAATGTACCGTACGAAAATCGTGTGAGTCAAAGGCAATAGCTGATAGGAGAGCCTCGCTTAGTCATAGATTTATACATAGTTTATTTAAAATAGCATGTTCATCTATAAATTTGCAATTAGAGCGCAGTTTGTTGTTATTTTAGCTGGATGAGAGTATGGACTGCGGGGAGTCTTCAGCGCCTAAGAGGCCCAGGGCCTCGCAGCTGCGACTTGGATGAGCGTACGAAGATGATAGCAGAGCAGTCTGCTGTTGGTGGATCTGCGGCGGTGGCATAATCAATCTGTGGGATCTCTGCAAGTTCCGGGATAATAAGTACTAATTAATGAATCCCAAATGGTTGAGAACTCACCCCGAGAAGGTTTTTGGATGCTGCGACGTTAGGTCATCATCCTGGCTGCCAAGGGCCTTCTTCACATACTAAAATAAGAGGGGAAAATATTCTTAAATACACGTTACTTTCCTACAAAGTTGTGTGAAACCAACCAGGGGATTTAATATGATCTCCTCCTCCATTTTATTGATTTGCTTAACTAGATCCAGAACCTGAGTTATGTTCGTTTGCACTTTAAGGAACATGTCCGGTGAGTTGTATTTCTCTGGATCGTCTTTGAACAACACCATGCCGTCCTTTTGATTGATGCTGGCATAGATTTCACCCGATTTAATCTGTAAAAAATTAATTGGCAATTGAAATCGATATATGTAAAAGCTGAAGCTCCATCCCGCTTACCATGTTGAGGATGTAGCGCTCCGCTTCGGCGGCACTGGACAGCTGGACACGACTGGCCACATCGCTCAGGGAAAGGGTCAAAAAGGTTTTCGTTAGCCGCTGGATGTTTCGCTTGTACAAGGAAGTGGCCACCTGCAAAAATAAAAGAAAAAATTAAATGTTTAAGCTATATAAAACCAATCTATTTAAATGTTCGTTCAGTATGTGCAACCGGAAATAAGCTTTTGGTTTTGTATATAAACATAGCTCGCACTTCCGCGTATAAGCAAAATATAAAAATGTTTATTTAAAACAACAAAGGCCAATAAAAGAATGAATTATAGTATTGTTCCGCTTTGACAAAAATCTATATCTGGCTTAACTGATACATTTCCTTCTCTTCCCTTTCCTCTCTCATGCTTGCTGTTGCATATACGCAGCATTGTATAATGAGCCTCTAATCACAGTTATTTTAAATTATTTGTTTTGAACTTTTCGCAAAAATATAGATGCATGTGTTGAGTAGTCATTATTATTTTTTTGTCTGTAATAATTTAAATGAATGTAGTATTGCGCATCCTGTAGCTCTTGAACCAGGACACCTAGGATATTGAAATTGAGGTCAATTCTACCTTATTTGTCTACTCAAAAAAATTAATTCGGGCATGAAAGGGTTTAAAGTCTTTTAGCTAATTTAAGAACTTGTTCCAATTATAGGCGTTGCGTTTCTCGAGATTGCTTGAATTGTAAGAAAACAAGATCAAAGGGAAAATGCTTATACCACAGCTGACTAGAACAGAAGTCTAAAACATAAGTTCTCCAGAAAATCAGGAATCGTTAATTAGAGAAATGAGTAAAATAAAAACTGATAAAAATGTACAAGTAACTTTTATTTTCCAAATTGAAATTGACGAATAACCGCTCCGTTCAAGAGTTATATCAATTTAACTTTTATTTTCAATTTTTAAAATAAAAGTAAGGTGTAAACTTTTGTTTTCTAAATTGCTATATCTCCTTTTTGCTATCCCTGAAACAAAGGCAACCTTTGTCGCAACCTTTAAAGTAGAAGTCACTGATTAAATGCTTTCAGAACATTTTTTTTACATTCAATACTGAATGACGTACTTAAATAAATGATACTTAAACCTAAAATTTCCTGGAACTTTAATAACCCGGTCATAAAAGATGACCAGCTAGCATTATCTGCACCAAGACGCAACTATATACATAGAGTAACAATATAATGTATAATTGCATCATGATCCTATTTCACTGTTTCACAAATACTTGCCTGCTTGGCCAGTCCCATGTTGTTATCACGCGTAAATGCTTCACTGTACTTGAGGATAATGATGCGCAGCTCTTCGCTGGACGAATTCACGTACACATTGACCAGGTCGTGGTAGTGATTGGCCATCGGTTTCATGAAGCGGCCAATGACCTGTGTGTTTTTTGGTATATTCGGTATCTGCAATTGGGAAATCAACCTGATATATTCGGGGTTTGGGCAACGTGTAGAGGCAAGGTTACCTTGCCCTCGACGATGAGTGAAACCATGAGAAACTTCTTGTAGGCCTCCAGCATGATGTGCGACATGGCCATGGCCGGTGTGGTGATGCACACTTCGAAGAAGTAGAGGGCGCGCTCGTAGTTCTTCACCGCTGTGTAGATCATGCCGCCGTAGTAGTAGTACAGCAGGAAGTACTTGGCATCGTTGTTGGCATCCTGCAAAGATATTCGCCAGCTTAGTACATTTTATCCCTCTTGCGGGTGCACTGCTCACCACCGTGTGTTGGGACTGCTGCTGCTGCTGTGTCTTGCACTCGGCGGCCACGGTGGAGATGTCTGTGATGTCCGCGTCCAGGTACGGCAGCACCACACCAAAGTTTTTCGCCTTCAGACTGAGCAGGCAGAGATCAGCGTGAATAGGCGTCAGCTGGGTGTCCAACTGTCGGATCTGGTCGATGGCGCGCGACAAGATGCGCAGGCCCAGGATGCTAAGGTTCTTCTGGACCACAAAGTCCGTGAACAGATGGCATGTCTCGTAAACTGTGAAAAGCGGAAGCGAAAGGTCAGTAACGATTGGATGCGGGATGCGAGCGGCAGCATAACTCACAGGCGCACACCGCAAAGCGCAGCTGATCCACATTGTTGCGCTGCACAAAGTCGCGCATCAGCTGGATGAGCTGCACCGGCTCTGGATTGGCCGTGCCGGCACTATGCAGCTTTGCGAGCAGCACGTAGAGCACACCCAGCGTGTGCTGCTGCATGTCCAGCGTCTCCAGCACATTGTCCAGGATGCTCCAGTTGCGGGCCAGCAGCGACAGTGACTCCGGCAGCTCGTCGGCCAGCTCCCGGTAGCTGCCTGCAATTGAACACCGAAAAATACGGGGGCAGCGTAAATAACAAAACAAAGGCGGCGACCGCTCCAGTCTCCGCTCTCTGCGAAGCTTGTGGAGCGCCGGTTGGGCACACTTACCGGACGCACTTAGCGTGCGCACCTGATTCACATAGTTTTCCAGCGCACTTCCCATTTTAGCTAAGCCCGAGACAATTTTTTGCCTACTTTTAATTGTAATTTACGCAAATTAGAGCTGCGAAGAAATCGATTACAACAACGATACTATCGATTGTTTGGTTCGGCCGATTATCGATTTGGTTTTGAAATAATCGAGGTAGTGTGGCTGTATTCCGGCTGTTTAGCTATAGCCGTTTAGCTATATAGCTAGCTGTTTAGCTATATAGCTTAAAATTTAGCCTTTTGCATTTTGGTGTGCCCAGAAGTCGCGGAAGCGGAAATGTTTGCCTACTTCCGGCACTGAGAACAAATAAGGAAATTCAACGGCAAAACAGCAACATTTAGCGGGCAGGCAGGCACAGGAAAGACAAATCCATGACCCGAAGTTGGAGGATGCAGACCAGGCCCTCAGTGAGCTCCAGCCTAGGCCCTTTAAGGATTTTCGGTTAGTCCTGCGGGCCAAAATCAAAAGGAATCAATCAATCTGTATAGAAAACCTACCAAACCTCCAATTTTGAAAGGTGTTCCTTTAGCAAAGACTGTCCCTTCAAGTTTCAGGACTCTGGTAAAATTGAAATGCATTCCGTTTGCCATAAGGACAACATCTGCGAATGCGGCTTGGAGCTTGGCACCCTTGCTATGCTCACCTCTTTAAAGCCCACTAGTGAACTGTCTGCAGTCTCGCTGAAGTGGCGGCCCAGGGTGCTCCGCTATCTGGCCATCGTTTAGCGGATGAAGAACTTGTAGAAACAGTTCGCCGAAAGGGCCATACAACAGGCACCACCCCGCCTCTTTCTCCCAAGAAGAACAAATACTAGGCGGAGAAGACCTATGATATCTGCAGTCAACGCTTTATTTGCATTGTGTGCGGCACGAAGTCGGTGCACAAGGCGAACTTAATAGTAAGGTTTCCACCCAAATTCTCTTTATTACTAGCAACCTCTACGTCAATTCACGTCCACATGCGCCAGCACATCAGCGAGAAGGCAATGTAGTGCGGCGAGTGCAAGTCCTCCATTCGCGATCCCAGTATTCTGCACAAGCACTAGCGTCGGCAATGGCTCGGAAGCCAGGATGGCTAAAGCAGCGTCAAGTGCGGACATGTGGAGGCTTCAATGCCAAAAGTTTGTTGTCACACAAGCAGGATCATTGTAGGGACTAATCACAAACTGTGAGGATTCCATGGATTCCACACAGGCTTCAAGGCCGGCTTCAAGTATCCCCGCACGATGGCCGACCAGAATGGAGACGTAAGTTCATAATGTTTTATACCCAAGAATCACGGGCTTGCTTTATGTCGCTTTAGAGCGTTGACTCGTTGACTCGCAGCCCCATGATCCAGCCGTGGACACGGGTGAAGTGACCATACCAGCTCCACCCTCTGAGAATACTCAGTTTCCCACGTACTAGAAAGATTAGTTCTATTTTCCTAATTATATTTCATAGATCCTAATTTATTAGGAAAAAAAAATCTTGGAAAATATTAAATATTTTTTTGTTGTTTTGAAGGTTTTTTTTAGGTAAAAGCTTAAAAAGCAGTTTTCCCGCCTTGTTGTGATTCGGAGAGTTTTCCTTAGAGATAATAAACCAAAGTTTTAACCTTGCAAAATATGTGCGATTTTCTATTTTGATATATGTGACAGAGACAAATAAATTAAACAAAAATGTTTCGATTTGAATATTGTTAATTAAAACACGATCACAGTTAATAATATTTTCCATTTTTGCGTCTTAGAAAGCATCTTTCAACCAAAAAGAGAGTGTTAAAAAGTCAACCGTAAAGTTTTTAAGTTTAGTGTCCTCTACTTAAACTATACTTAAAAAAGCGTTACCAATTTGTGTAGATAGATATTTATTTGTCTATGTATATCTACTAATGTTGATATACCATGTATACCATGTAAAAAATCCTGTATCAAATAATGTTCTCATGCAGTTTGTGGTTTTGGGGATTTAAATGCTCGTTTATTAAGTTGTTCAGTTTTCCATTTAATTTTAATATCATTTTAGAATCTGATATGATTTTTTTTCTTTCAACATTCGAATTATTTAGTCATGCTGGTTTACCATGTTCCGTGTTTTATTTATCAGTTACGTTTCGCTTTAAACTAATTTAAAATTTAAAAATCTACTCTGCAGGCGATACACATCATCATCCGGTTTCAGTTCGGTTTTAAGATCGCTCATTAAACTAGGTTACGACAAACATTGTTTCAATTGGTTTCATTTCGGGCAGTTTCGCTAATAACTCGTTAAGTTTTTAATATTTAAATGGTTTAATTTAATGTTAGTAGTTAGTTGAGCGCTTACGTTTGGTTTAATATAATTATTTACGCTTGTATGTAATCGGCGGCAGGCCATTCCCAAAATTGCTGTGCTGCCCTGCGTTCGCTATCAGTAATTGAAATAAGTTACCTTCGAGTTACAAAGGAGTAGACCTTAGCGTTTATTGTCTGAGTTTGATTCGAGTATCAAAACATGTTCACTATTTGAGAGTGCAACTGAGGTGTGAGTACATCAGAATGGCAAATAAAACGCTCAATGTAAAATTGTTAATATCATACAGCTTCTGTTTGTTTTATTTACAGCTCTTAAAAAGGAAGAAGAGTATCAACAAAAATAGCATTTCGCCTGATTCACACACTGATTCTGTTGTTCTCTGTTGTCTCTGTTTCGGAGTCCCTGATCCCTGATCCTGCTCCCTCCTTTTGGCCAGGCCGGGCATTTGCTTTGCTTTGCCTTAGATCTTGGTCTCAACGACGGGTTTTTTCTTCGACACAAAAGGGGATGTTCAAAGAGAGAATACAAAATAGAAAAGGATTCGATTAAGCCAGCTGCCATCGAGTGCCGAGAGCCAACATACGAGGATTACCATGCAAAGATTTGATCGGATTTGAGTTGGTTTTGGTGTGAGGGAGCAGGCGCTAAATGAAGTGGCATGGTTGGTCTATGAGAGCGAACTGTGCACTTTGGAGACAACAAACAATCAACATTAACAACAATGGGCGTGAGATCTGACTGAATGACTGACGACGACTGACTTATTGTTATTTCGACTTGGATTTTTGAGTACTTTGAATACGACGAGATACCTCTAAGTTGTTGGCTTGATTTAGCTTTGATTATGCTGATATTATCCATGATCACTACAACGTCTATTAAACAACTAACGAATTCATCTAGCTTCTATATAATAAATATATTGACATATTCCACTAAACTCTGCGTCCCGTCCCATCCCATGTCCCCCTGGCGACTAATTTATGTTACGTTTACGATGCATCCATCAATCTTAAAATGTAAAACATGTTCCACTTACGATCTACGCTTGGAATCGTCGATTAATCTTCTTGCTCCTTTTAATTTTTTACTAATTATGAGTATTTTTTTTCATTTGGTTTCTTCGTATTTTTTGGTTTTTTTGTGCGCCGCATAATAAATGCTGTGGGAGTTTCTGAAACACTCCACGAAAAAAACTAATCCTTCCTCTGCCCAACTAAAGACAATATATCGATAAGATGCGTAACGGCCATATATTTGTGATTCTGCGACCTACGAAATTACATCCGTTCGCTTCCAAAAACAGAAGAGAGTGCTCTCTTAACTAAGTTTCAAGAAAGCTTAGAACCAGTCGGTCAAAATAGTATGGCGTTATGCATCCTATCATTATATGGTCTTCAGTTCATTGATTGGATGTATCTATTCCCTCCGTTTTTATTTAGTCGGTTCAATTAGCATAGTACGATACACTTAAAGGCTATTAGGAAACAGTTGTATCTACATAGATCTATGAGTACTCTGTAAGAACCAAGGATACGAGCGCCTAGAGGAGTTGTAACTGGTCAGAGTCAGTCCGATTTCGATTTCTGGTCCTCGTCCTTCCGTGTTATGTACAGTATTTGTGTGCTCAAGTGGGTCGAGTTGGGAAATCATATCGAAAATACATACGAAAAAACCCTAGGCCTAGAAAATTGCTTATAAAATTGCGCGACACTGGAAAAAAAGAGCACGAGTCATCCGGCACGAGTCTTGCGATCTATAAAATAGAGGTCAATACACATAGAAATAACGAGATCCTGCCACGGGTCGCGAACTCGGGTTGATTCTCTTATAAATGCGGTTTAAAAAACAAGTGAACGATTTTGATTTTGGTATTGGTATTGGTTTTGGTTTTGATTTTGATTGCGAAAAAGTGTTGCCTTTTCTTTTGATCGTTTCATTGTTGCGTTTCGCATTTGCGTCAGTTGTGGTTGTGGTTTCTGTTTCTTGGTTGGCTTGTGGTGGCGATTCTGGTGTCTGTTCCGGGGCACAATTCTGCACGTTACTGGCCGTCGAGCATCAGACCGTGGTCACACGGTCGATCTCCACGTAACGCACAGAATTGTCGCTTTGTCAGCAAATCACCTCCTTTTCATCCAGCACAGCGGTGTCCATCGAGCTGAGCGACTTGAGTCGCGTCTGCAGCACCGAGGATCCGCGCAGCTTGCGTTTGATTTTCCTAAAAAATTTAATAAGTATTGAATATTGTAAAGTGTGCTTTTTGGGATTCTGTAAAACCATCATACTAGGACAATCACTTACTTGTAGGCAAAGGCAGCGAACGCACAACACGAGAGCACAAAGATCAGGCAGAGAGTGGCCAGGATCTCGGCGGGCAGCTTCATCAGGGCCGAGCATTGCAGGAAGGCCTCGTCATCGCCTGAGGGACAATGGACGACGCCATCGCACCAGACACTGGCATTCACACAGGCGCCCAGTTCGGCGCACTTGAACTGACAGTCCTCTGTCGGACATAATTGATATTTAATTTGAATTTTAATTAAATTATAGCGATTAACTAACCCGCCATGCTGAGTGTGGGCCTGGGTATCAGCTCCATCCAGTTAAAGGAGTACTCGCCATTGCCAGGTCGCAGGAACTCGACGCTGATGGCCCTAGATCGATTGATCAGCGCAAAGTTAGGCCTTTCGTTCCATCCAGAGCTGAAGATCTCCACAAATTCGTAGGCGCTCGAGTCCGGACTCAGGGGGCAGGCCACAATGGTGAGTCCTGTGGGGTTTGATTTATATTTAATATAATTTGAAATTTGTTAAAAATATATCGTAAATAAACCCACCCTCCGAAGTTGTCAGCACAGCTCTGGACTTGGTCTCACATCTCCAAGTATCCGACTGAACAAAGGTCGTGTTCAGAGTCTTCATCGGATTGTGCTTACTCAGGAAGATAGCCTTGAGGCGCACATATAAGAATTTATTGCCATTCGAGGGCTCAATCAACCAGGGTCTCGACCGGCACTCCACCTGAAGCACACAATTTCCGTTAAATTAGTTATTTTGGATAAATATTTGAGAGCTATACTCACATCCCCAAAGGTCATATCTATGGTGCCGCTGGGACCGAACTTCCTGCGTCCGTCCTTGCAGCTTGTGGGTGCCTTGACAAACTCGAACATTCCCTCGAAGTTAACTGTATCCGGGTCATCCAAAGTGGTCATGTTCTGAGCAATAAAGTGCACCTCCACATCGCGACTCGTGGAGGTGTATTCTACGGGCAGGTGGGACTGGTTTGAGGAGTTGCACATGCAGCCCCGATGCAGCAAAATGGAGTCGTGGTAGGGTCTCTCGAAGATCTGAAAGTAATAAGATAAGCTTCTTTTATTACCTGTTCACGGCTGAATAGGAGTTAACCTACCTCAATTTTGACATTGGTATCCCCATAGCAAAAGGATCTGTTGATGTCCTCGTCTACACGCGAGTAACAGGGTCGATTGGTGGTTGTTACCTTTCTCAGCTTGATCCTGACCCGCTCTCCTCTTTGTGCCTCAAACTTGTAGACACACTTTAGATTCCTGGTGCCGCCTCTTCCGAATAGGAATATATTTCGTACACTCCGGAAGATGGCGGGATCCTTGCGGTCCATCATGTTGCTGAGGAACTTTCGGTTGCAATCATGCTCGCCGCCACCCCAGGGCAGTCCATCCTGGTGCAGGTCAATGAACTCGTACTTGAGCTTGAAATCCAATGGTCTACGAAAAAGGAAGTTAAGAGTTGACTTAATCTTTAGAGGAGATCCTACCTAAGCACTGTGGACTCGGTGTTGCGCAGCTCCAGAGTGATAGCATCGCTGGTGGACACATAGCTTTCGGAGATGGTGCAGGGTCGGGCGTAGGTCTCATTAATGTTGGAGCGATCGCAGGTGCGGGGTATTGTTCCCCGACAGAATCGCGCAATAACATTGGTGGAATTGTGGGCATAGTGACCCAAAGTGTTGTAGCTGCTCGTTTCGCTAGCACTTAAAAAATAGGGGAAAACATAAATATAAATAAAATAATTGCTTTTCTCTCTTGTTATCTTACCAATTTAAGTCCTTGCAGACGGGAGCATCCCTCAGAGTTCCATCCCAGATGCGCAGCATGCCACTGCAATCCTCCTGCGTCTGCAGCACGCCTATCGCTCCCACGGAGGTCTCATCCACTCGCCCGAACTCCGGATCCAAGTTGAACTTGAGAACGGATATCCAGACCTTGAAGCGTGACAGGGGCTGGTGCATTCCAGACTGGCTGCTCGTTCTCCGCGACAGACTCAGGTGGTCGAAGGTCTTGAAGACGCCCAGTCCCTGCAGGTGGTACAGGCACGTGGAGTTTGGGGCCAGCGAGTGCTTGGGATTCTCCAGTATGCCACGGCCGGCGCCGCGAATCCAAAACTCGCAGGGCTTCTTGTTCTTGGAGTACGTGGGACTCTGGATGTCCACGAACTGAACTTCCACCTGCGACGCAAACGCAAACAACCAAAGACAAGTGATTAAAATGGCAGATTGTTCCGAGACTCGAGACTCACCTCCAGCTGGAAACCGTAGAGTGGCAGGACCTGCGACGAGGTGCCGGTGAAGGTGCCAAACGGCGACGTGCTGAACTCGACCAGAAGCTCCGGGCCGCTGGAAACGGCCGCCGGCACCGCCTGACCGCCGCCGCAGAACTTCAAAATGATGGGGTCACGTGTGGTATAGCCATCGTACACGGTCACGTAGTCCTGCGGGCCCAAAAGGACGAACAGAGAGAGAGACGAAGAGACAGAGAGAGAAAGAGAGAGAGAGAGAGAAAGCAGAGTTGGGTGAGGAGAGAACGAAATGAATGAGTCGGGCGACAAATGTGGGTGGTGGTTTCTTGATTTCACCATGTGGGTGCCACTAACAAAATGCTACAGAGGACAAATATACCGGAAATCGGTTCGAATTATTTATACAATAACACCAGTATCTAGCGTATTAATATTGTAGTTTTAATTAGAGAAGAAGGCCCTGATAAAGTGACTTTTTGTCATTGACAAAACATTAAACGAATAGGCTTAAATTGCGTGGATTTACTTTAATATTTGTTTAATTTTTAAGCGTTTTTAATAATTATTAAAAATTGCATGGAATGACATCATAGTTGGTCGGAAATATTCTAAAATGAAAATAAATAAATATGCTAATAGATTTAGCTTCTATTAAATACATTTTTTACGATAACATTTTGTTATTAATCACTTTATCATAGCTTTTAAGCGTCGTAAACTCATTTTTAAACCTCAAGATACATTTATTTCTGGTTAAGAATGTTGATAAAATGTGTCATAAAAAGTGCTAAAAATAATTTTTTGTGGCTGTGTGTTTTTCTCACCGTGTAGTAATTGAAGCTGAAGGCCGAGTGTGGCCAAAATGGGTTCGGAAGAGTGGGACGGTGGGGCTGAGCCGAACTGAGTGCGAAAGAACGGTAATTGCTGTAAAGAAGGGGACCTAAAGTGCAGTTGGCAACCGGGCTCTCGTATTACTTAATGGCCACTGGACGTATACGTGATTTTTGGTTACATTCCGCTTCCCAGGACGATGGAAAGTAATGGTGCGGCGTGTTAGCAAGCGGAGGAATGGGAAGGGCCTGGGCAGAGGTCTAAGTAGTTGAGCACAATGGCTTTGATGTGTCCGCCACTTGATGTTCACTAAATGTCGAACATTTTGAGTTCATTTAAAGTTTGTTTTAAGTAAAAAGAAGTATGTTTATGCGGGCTACGTTTAATGTTTTGACCGAGAACTTAAAGATTCTGACATGGTCTTTAAACGTGTGCGGTTGGCTTTACTTTTGAATATTATTGGTGTTATTTTTAATATTAAAATAATTTTAACATTTATTTTTAGGGTTATTTAGGTGGGTTTTTTCTGTATTTTTTAAAATTTGACGGTTGCCTTTGGGTGGTTTTTTCCACAAAGGTAAGAACTTGTTTATGTTATCAGGAAATGTTTAGTAAAGAAGTTAAAGAAAATAGCAAAATATTATTTTAAATAATTATGTTTGCTACAGGTACTTGTGATTGTGAACATTTAATTTACATTTTGTGCAAAGTAATCTCATGATAATTCCAAGACAAAAATGTAGACTAAAGTGTTTTATTTAGTTGCTAGTATTTATGTAAATGCTAACTAATTTTGTATGGTAACTTGACTATCTTTTTGGTATTCAAAAATATAATTTTAAAACGCAAATTCCCAAATCGCATAAACTGATCGTATACATTTGTGTGTGGTTTCTGCTGGCTTTGGCATTTTGCGCATAATTGTGCGCATTTTAATTGAGTTGGCCTTGCCGCCGGGTGTCAGAGTGGGCCTTGTACCCGCAATATACACACACGGTACAGGGGGTAATGGCTTTCGGGACGAGGAGTGACGACCGAAAGTGTGGGTCCCTGACCAGAGGCACTTCCCACCTTTTGGCCAACGCATGACAAATTAGTTTTGTGGCCAGCGACTTTTGCATTAATTTAGCTGAGGTTTCTGTTTCCCGGTCGCCCTTGTTTGTGCAGCTGGCCGCAAATTTAAACTATGCCAGAGACCGCAGACCAGATTCCGGGGCCGGAGCCGGAGCTGGAGCCGCAGCCACAGGACACCCAGTAAACCTGTGCAAGAGGTCCAGGTAATTTGTGACCACAAATTTATTGAAAGCGCGGCATTTGTACAAATTAGTGGAGGACACAGATGGGGGTCGAGGGTTTTTTTGTGCCCTTTGACCCCCAGTTCTTTTTTTGGTTGCATATTTTAGGAAAAGAAGGGTTGGTGCACAGAGAACGAAATAATTATTTTAAACCTATATAGAATATATACTTAAAAAAATTATATAAAAATAATTTTCCTTTGATTTACGATCCAGAGAAATTCATATATGATTTATCAACTTATCGCTAGATCAGAACTGGGCCGTAAATATTCTCATTAATTTCCAGGTGTTGAACATTTTTCAATTCATAATTATTGATTGCTTTACAGATAAGCCATACAAAATTCCCTAGTGAATTAATGGTTAAACGGATATATTTTTCTAAGTGGATTCCAGTGAAGGCTCTCTCCATGGTTTCCATTCCTTTGCCAAAGCTCAGGCTGCGGGAGTCTCGCCCATCCGGCGATTATTCACACATGCCGCACCAAAATGGCCAGCACTTTTGGACATTTTGGCTTAAGAGCGCGACAAAAAGTGGTAAAAAAGGCGCTGGAGAATGGCGAACGCAGGACAATTTGTAGGCAGAGTGCACCCGGCCGGTAGGAGCCAGGATCCTCGTGCAATCCTTGCAAATGGCGCTAACGTCCGAGCGGATTGCTTTCCAACTGAATAAGCAAAAAGTAAAGAAGGGGTTACCCGGCATGGTCTCCGGGCTAGGAGGATAGTCCGTCCGAAGGAAGGAGGTGGAGGATTTGCTGCCACAACGAGCATTTAATGGCGGAATTGCTGGCGGAGGACACGGGGTCATCCTTTCAGAGGGATTTTGTTGCGAAGCGAAATTGAATAGTTGCTGATGACTAAATGGGCAACTAAAAGCAACATTCCTCGGCACGGAAATCGTCAAAACGTTTTAGTGGAGCTTTAGGGGATGGTAATGGTATATGTATAGGGATGCCAGCCCCTAGCGCGGGGTGGAATGTCTTTGACCGCTGCGGCAGATCGGCTTAAAGCGCTCTGAATGGAGCCCGGAAGTGGGAAATCCATCAGAAGTGGCATCGCATCCTCAACTGCCTGGTTGCTCCTCTCCGCTTTTGTATGATGAATGCCCGGGGCAATTATTTACATGGGTCCCTGGCACGTTCGTCCACTAATGTCCTTGATGTCCTCGAAGCATGCCCTCCCTCTACCCCCAACCCCCTCGCTCGACCGCTGTCTTTGTGTGCGATTTATGATGTGCGTGCCAAGTGTTCATTAATATAAATCCAATGACAGATTTTTCCCCTCGCGTGTGTGCTAATGAATATATTATCCAGTCCATAGATAATCCATAGATGTCGATTTACCCAGATCATTTTGATTTGTTGTTTGTTTGCCGGGGCTTAGGGGGTTGTGCATACAATTTGGCTTGATTAATTGTTTCGAACAGCGAAGGATGGCATATAATTGTTGCTAATGGTGGAGATACAGAGATATATATATATAGAGAGAGAGAGAGAGGAAGAAGAGAGGGGGTGGTGGAGTGGCTTGTGGTTTGGTGTCAGAGTTCAAGTGCTCACTACTAATTCTACGACTAAAATTGATTTGTGGGCTTCATGAGTTTGAATTGAATTGAATTGAATCGATTTGCATTGAACTAAGCGAGGCATTTTCTTTAGTTTGGCATTACCGTGGATTTCCATTTGGGCTTTACATTTTCCTATTGGAGAAAATATACATATACATTTATAGGTACTTCAGTAATGGAAATCGTAATCACTTGCTTAGCAATTTCTATAGTTTGGTGCAATTCGAGAAATCGTGAGAAGGGAGTGCTCAAAGGAGAAACATTTTTTTTTGGGTTTTGTGGGGTAATCAGGGAAAAAAGTTTTGGCCTATATTAAAGTAGTTTTTTAGCATATAAATTTGAATTGGTTCTTTAAAGAATGTGTGTATATATTTAAATATTTATATCCTAAAGCCAATTTATAACTAACTAGCTCACAAAAGATATATTTTCTAACAAGACTTCGTGTACAAACTTAAGAATTCAGAGATAATCCAGGAAAGAGTAATTAATTTCCCTTCTATTTAAACATTTTCCTGGAGCAATTAGTTCCCCCTTTAAATACTCTTTGTCCTTTCTGAATATCCCATTAGTTGGCTTTTATTTTTAATATAATTAAGGTAGCATCATTAAATCCTACTTCTTGGAACCGTTGCTTTCAACCATATCCCATTTCGCCGGCTTATTTTCACTGCTCGTATCCCTCATCTTTGCCGCTTTCCCGCTGCCAGCTTATCCCCCATTTATGCACCATTCTGCATACACAACGCTCATTAAGAGCTCATCCAAAAGTTGCCCCTTTTAAGTTGGGGCTTTATGTGGACTCCAGCACGGCACGAGCGGATGGATCCCGCTCCCCGATGACAAACAAAAAAAAAATAGGCTACGAAATTAACACTTCCCGCGACTGGCGCTGGCCAGAAGAGAAGAGAGCCTATCGAGTGCTCAAGGCAATGTCGGTCGGATAGAGTACGGAGAACGGCGGCGAATGGAGCATGGAGCACCAAGGACTTCGGCCTGGAACTCGGACGTGGAACTGGGGACAGGCCCGGGACTCGGACACACAATGCCGGGGCAATGACAGTGGAAAATCGGAGGGAAAATGACGGGGACTGGGATGGCAAACAACTGATTTCAGATTTTTGCTCATTTCTTTTTCAATTTGTCGTTTTTTGCGCAGTTTTCCCCCAGTTTTTCAGCCGACTATGAACCGCCTACCCCACTCCGAAAAATTTCCCACTGGCTCTGGTCAACAGAGGAAGTAATTTTTATGCTGGATCTCTCGTTAAAGTTGGCAAATGCAAACACAGAGGAGTTCATCGGGCAACTGGCCAGGGACAGGCACGGGGACAGTAACGGATGCGGATACAGATCCGGAGATTCGGATACACAGATACAGATACAGAGTTACAGATAGATAGGGCAGAGAAAACAGATAGCAGATAGCAGATAGCAGGGGAGGGTAAAGTGCATTTAAGGCAGATTTAATTACCTGAATGTAATCGCAGTCATTCCATGTTTTCAGCCTCGGCTCGAATTTCTTATCCTTGTCGCTGGCACTCGGCGGCGGTGCCATTTTATTCACCGCGGCCGTTTCCTGGGTGGAAATCCAGACCAGATTGCCCTTCGGTTGTTTGACTAGAATCAGGGCGTGCTTGCCATGGGGCACGTCGTGCTGTGTGGACAGGAGAATTAAATGCAAATTAATGAGCCGCATTGCAAAGCACGGGATGTTTTCTTTGACAGTCCCAGTCCTAGTTCCGCTTCCCTTCTCTGTTAGAAATGGGAGGATTAATGGGAGCATTTAAATTACAGAAAGTTCCCTTGGCTGGTTACTGGGCGGATTACCAAATGGTGATTGATCTTTGAGTTTTACCATTGTTCTAGATTAATTGGTGTATTTTATCTAACTGATTTGTATTGCCTTGGAATACAACAATATATAAAAGTTCCTTAAAAAGAAAAAGTATCTAGACTTATTTGGATTCTTCTGTTATCCTTTTCAAGACTGAGATAAACCCCCCGACTTTAAATTACGTGCCTGCCACATTATGGTCCCCTCCTAGCTGAGCTCAAGCAGTAAACAATTTGCAATTTAAAAGGGACATCCACAGCATGTGAGACCTTTAACAGTTGATTGCCATTGGCAACGAGTCCTGTGCCAGGAGAATCCCCGTCGGGCAGCCGGCGCAGACATATTAAAAATGCCGAAGTGGTCGGGACGGGAGGGGATGCTTCAGACGGCAGTTTGTGCTCCTCCAGTTAATTATAATAAAAGCTCATTCTATTTTGGAATGTAAATTGCCATTTAATTTTTTCCTCTCTTGATTTTTGAACTCTGTTGTGGCATGAATAAAAATAAGGCACAGCGTTTTACGCTTTTCGTGCTCTTTTATGAGTTGGCTCCGAAAATGCCATGGCCTGGGAGAGTGCCTAACCTTTTGCCTTAGCACGCCCTTAAAGCCAGGACATTAGGCAGGAGTTTAATTTCGTTTTAATTGTTCTCTACTCACCTGACGCACTGCATAGTAACAGGTGAGGTTGCGGGGATATATGCCGGGAAAGTTGGGTGACTGCAGCCGGCAGGACTTCTTGTCGCAGTCGCTAAAGATCCTCGAGCAGTAGGTCCCGGGTATGAGGTCACCTGTGAATGCGGGAAACAGATGTCACAGCCAAGAATTATATTTAATGAGTCCTTAAAAAGTGTTCTCAAAATTTAATTAGAAAATTTCATTTAGAAATATTGTGTGTAAATGTATATCCCACCTAGATAGTATTTGGGCTCCGTGTAGTTCTGCTCGTCCTTGGCCAGCGACTTTTCCAGCGAGGCCATAAAGGTCTTGTTGTTGGCGTAAGCGCTGAACAGGCTAAAGTCCTGGCCATACCGGTCAGAACGGGCTCCGCTCGAGTTGGTGAAGTCCTCCAGAATGCCTGGGGTCTGTTGCTGTTGCTGCTGCTGCTGCTGCTGCTGCTGCTGTTGTTGGTTGAGGAAGCTGCTGCGGTTATGCCACTGGGCTAGCTCTGAAAAGGGGTAAGCGTTTGAGAGGATTAGGACTAGATCCCACTGGACGAACCATGCTGGTTACCATCACACTCACCTGCCAGCTTAATGCCCCCGTAGCGGGTCACCGAACTGTCCCTGGACAGCACCTTGTACCTGATGCGAAAGTCGAAGTTGTAGCCACTCTGATCCCTCGCCAGTCTGCGGGTTATATAAATACGAATCGGGGTCAGTTAATTATGTGTTTAATCGGTAGCTGGGAGCTGGTCCTGCGAGTGTGTGCTCACCTGTTCAGCCGGATGGTGAATATCAGGGAGCGGGTCTCGCTGTAGAAAAGCACGGGTCCCCAGGAGGTGCCGCACCACATTCCGCCGATGGGCGTTCGCGCTGACTCCGCTATCTGCATGTATCCGTCCGGACAGCCCTCGTGCACGTACGATGTGAATCTGCCAATGGTGAAGCTGTCCAGGGTGACCTGCGGCGATACGGGCAATAAACATGTGAGATATGTCATAGCGTAACTATCGCTGCTTTTGTCAAGGAAAAGTGTGGAATATAGCATGGAATATTTATATCTGTTGAGAGCTTTTACTGCCAGGGGATTTACATAAGATGCATTTCAATCCTTAACTGCTTTCTATTATATAAAGTCGCAGAGTCTTCCTTATTCAAATAAGGCAAATTATGTCTTTGTTATACAATTACATAATTATTTATTGAAGAAAGCTCAACCATCTGGAGAGAGCGGAAGCGTTCTTAATTTACTCCCAAAGGCGTAAATCGGCCCCGAATCTACCAAGTTTTCTCCTCTTCCCCGGTGGGTATAAAATATTTGCCGGATGTGCCGAACGGGGGTGTCGGTAATAAAGTTTCGGTCAGTGCTCGTAGCTCAGTGGATATCAGTGCAGAATGCTCTTGGGACGCACTCGAGCATGCCAAAGGCTTTGGCTGGCTGCCGGCTGCTCCCCCTGGCACTGCTCCTTCTTCTCCTGATTCTCCTGCTCCTGCCACTGCATCCTCCATTCGAATTGGAGGTGTGAAGTGGCGTAATAACTAACAGGCGCCGGCACTTGCTTCCTGCTTGGTCGAAATTGGGTGGTGTTGGCGGTGGCGGGGTCAGGATTTGCTACGCTCCGACGACTGGCTTTGAAATCAATATTGCTTCTGGCACCCCAGCACCCATTCTCACCCCCCTGGACACCTCCCTACAGCGCCTTTGTTGTTGCTTATCTTTTAATGGCGTAGTTTATCCCGTTTACAAAATGAAATGTGAAAGGCACTGGCAGTACCAGGAGCAGGGGATGATGAAGGAGTAGTTTGGGGTCTTAAAGGTACACGTGAAAAAATATGACAAAATGTAAAAATACAACTTGAAATCTTTGATTTTGATAATTTTACAGAAATTGAATTGTTTGGGAGATTGTTTGCTGACGAACTGAAGTAAACTGACTCTACAAACTACATTTTTCACGTGTCTTTGGAATAAAGGAGCGTTAATCGAGTCTCGATTTGTAATTAAAGACATTTAAGCAATAATAATTAATAAAGTGTTGCACAGAATAACGTATTTCTTCAGGTATTAAACCTGTTCTCTCACCTGCACCACATCGCCGTGCTGGCCACCTGCCGCCGTGAACGTGAGCACACACACAAAGGGCACGCGATCCTGCTTGGGTCGGTGCAACTCCAGGGCGTATGTCTGTCCGATGTCCCCGTAGTAGGTGCGATTACAGCCTGCGAGTATATATATATATAGATATATAAATTGTATGCAATTAGCGTTAGTTCGGCAATTAGTTTGTTTATTGGGGGCGCTGCCAGGCAACCGCCGGTAACTGATACAATTCGAAAAGCCAAGGATAACTCCAAGCCCAACAGGGAGTCCTTCTCCCCCCGAAACTCAACCCGATGAGACGCCCCCGGGAATGGCAATTGTCACGCCATAAATCATCGCCAGGCCACGGCAGATGCTAGCCCAGAGTATCAAATTAGCATAACATTAAGTTCATATGCAAACTGATTGGATCGCAAAGTAGATTAATCCATTAAGGTGAATAATTCGAGGTACCTTCACGTTAATGTATTCACACCTCACTGGGGAGGAAGTAAAGTGTATAGGAAAATTAGGTTTGTGGTAAGTCTTATCTTTAAGATAACGTTTATAACAATTTCAACTTTAAATTTTTTGCCTAAGGGTGGAACATGTAATTCACTAAATCAATTTATGGAAAATGCAATTGCTTTTACCTTTATTAAACCAAAAAACTGAGCCTTATTTAATGAAGTCTTTTATATGTGATTTTTGCTATTCAACTTTAGTTTTCTTTTCATAATCTGATTTCTGGTTTCTTCCTTCGGATTTATTTATCCAAAATAAAAATAACTTTATTACTTGATTCATATCTTTGGTTTTCTCTCACTCTGTATTGTTTTAATCAAAGATCTTCGTGTTTGTGCATGAACATTCTTAGAATTTTCCAATTGAATTGTTTACTCTTACTTAAAGTGAATGAATAAAAAAGCCATCGAAAACCCTTTCTCTTCTCTCACTCGATTACGTATTCGAATTTGGAATTCCTTTTCATAATTGAATGACCACAAACTGCCATGATTTATGCTTCTGCGATTTGCATTCATGGAATTATAAGTCCGGCCCTTTGTATATTCGATGTCCTTGCTGCGGATACCTAAAAACTCACTGGGGCTGATACTGAGAGCGAGTGTCCTGGAGCCAAAGTAGTTTGTATGGAAATTGGCAATTTCTTATTGGATCCTGGGCAATCCTGCCACCATATACACCATACCGCCGTTCGGTTTCCTCGGGCATTTCAATTAGTTTTATTAAAAATGCATGCGAATCGGACGGAGACAGATACTGCGGACAGCCCCTGGATGAAATAATTCAATTCAAATAAATTGCCAAGTGTTGGGGGCGTTGTTGCTGCTCCAATTGCTTTCTGTGCATTCAATTAAATTTATTATGCGCTCAGCCATCAATAGTCAATTAGATAATTATGGCAATAGTTCGCATTGCATTCGTAACGGAGGGATTAAGGGCTGTAGGCGTATTTCCGATTTGATTGCCTGTCTGGTTGTAAGTCCTTCAGTCTGTCAGTCCGTCAGTCAGCCTGTGGGCAATTTTCTAGTGGTCTATAATTGCCCCAGCGAGTAATCACAAATTATAGTATTTCCCGTATTGACCATTCAATTAGGAATTTTAGATGCCAGACAACAGCAAAAAACAGCATTTAATCGCTTTCCGAATGGCCGATATAATGGGATTAGTTATTAGGTTCATGAACTGGCATTACTCAGAAACAAATATGGTGCTAATAAGGCAGAGTTAGAGCATTTGGCTTTATTTAATTATTCAAATTAGCAATCTTGGCGCCAAAGCTGTTTCTTATATCTAATTAAAGAGATATTTCGTTGATATTTGATGGCAACATATATAAAATATATATGCTTGAATATGTACATGTTTTATTAACGATAAAAAGCCATGTATTATTGTCTGTCATTCCTGATGTTTGCACAGTATTTATCCACACCTGAAGCGATTAATTTAACGGACTCCCCAAGGGCTCATCCCTGCTTCCTTCTTGTGAGCTCTTTTAATTGCTCGAAATGGTTTTTAATATCAGCGGTAAAGTGGGCCTGTCCTTCTGGCCAAAACTCCTCCACAAAACAAGCTCAAGCACTGGGCCTCTCGATAAGCTCGTTGTTCAATTAAAAAGCCCAACGAGTTGTCGCTGTCCTTATTCATCAGCAGCCAGGCTGCTCTCATTCTGCCCGTCCGCCTCATTGGATGTCATTGAAAAATACTTAATTAAATTCATCAACGCTTGACATGACGCGCAGGGCAAAAGGGGGCGGGAGAGGAAGTGGGAGCTGGAGCTGCCGGGGATGGCCAGTTGTGGGGCTTACTGGCAGCCAATTGGCAAAAGTGAGAAGTTCACTTTGCCGCCATTATGAGGGCCAATGTGGATGTGGAGAGCCGGAGGGCAGGCTGGGCGGCAGGCAGGATGTATGCCACGATGGGCGGCAATCTCTGCGCTGCTCCATGTGCGAGCGGGGAGTGCTTAATTACATTTACACATGAAGGCCGTGTTTACAAGGGCGGCCAGTGAATGGATGCAGCGGAGGGAGATGATTGCCGGACGGTTATGGGGTTTGACAAGCTTGATTGCTTCCAGGTTCCAGGTACCTAGCCCGCACCTGCCTCCCTCCCTGCCTGCACTTTCAGCGGGGATTCACTTCTGGCCTCCGAAGCAGGCAGCCATTGAAGTCCCCATTGGATCCATTTGGCAGGGGATCAGAGTGGGGCCTACTCCGCTCTTTATAAAGAGTATACGAGTATACTCCGAAAGGGAAATACAGTTTTTAGATCAATATAAATATTTATTAATGAACAATTTTAATGGGGCTACGGGGTGTATACGTAACGAAATTATTGTTTTTTAGTTAACAAATTCTATCCAAGTCTTTAGACAGATTTTGAGGTCAATAGAAATAATATTTAACATTGGAAAATATCATAGGGGCTACGGTGCGTATACGTAACGGAAGTCTCATGGTTTTTAAGTGAAAAAATTTAACCGAACTTCTATAGAGTGTTTTACGGTAAGTTCTTACTGGGAATGACAGGTTTGAGGTCCATTAAAACACCATTTAATATTGAAAATTGGTAGGGGCTACAGTGCGTATACGCAATGGAGTTCTTAGGATATTTTATTAAACAAATTCAGTTGAAGACTGGTATTTATTTGTAACTACTATATTTTATATGTTTTTTTTAATATCGTGTGAAAATCAATATACCCGACGTGTGAATCGCTACATATACATATAGTACTTCCCATCAATCGCCTGGCAAATTGGGCAAACAATGCGCTGGCAGCCCATTTGGCTGTTTCTCATTATTTCCCGCTTTACATAATTGCCTTCGACACATTGTTAAGGGAACTTCGCTACATTACTGAACATTTCAGTTTTCAGGACGGGTATTTTAATGGTGGGGGCATTGTTCGAAATGGGTTAAAATAACTAACAGATTTTGTAAAAGTAAAATTCTTATCCTCAATATGATTAAACATTTGAGTAAGGCCAAACATTTCCCCGACTTATATTCATCAGTTTTAACACCCATCATGTTTTTTCTTTTGCTGGCTTCACTCACGTGTGCAAAACCTGGGCTCATCGCTTCCATCGCCGCAGTCATTGGCGTTGTTGCAGTACTTGCTCAACGGCACGCAGCGTCCGTTGGAGCAGCTGTACTCGGCGAGGGAGCAGCCAGTCGAGGAGGAGGCGGAGCCGGGTGCCATTTGTAAATTGGCAGTTTTGCCGGGCCCCAAAGAGCTGGATGTGGAGCCAGCTGTTGCCCCGGCTCCGGATCCGGATCCGGCACCAGCTCCTCCTCCGCCTCCGCCTCCGGAACCGGCACCAGCTCCAGCTGCAGCGGCTGCTGTGGCGGCCAGGCCCAAACTGAGGCCCAGGCAGAGGAGCAGCGTCAGTGTGGAAGTCGTTGCCGGAAGTGGATGTCGCCGCTGCTGATGTTGCTGCTGTGGCTGATGTTGTAGTTGCTGCTGCTGCAGCTGCAGTTGCTCATGTTGCTCCTGACAATGAACGTTGCAGCTGGAAGTCATTGTGGATGTTGCCGCTGTTTCTGTTACTTTAATTGCATGACATTGTGTTGGATTTGCTGTTTTTGCATGCAGCCTTTGCAACACTCTTGCGACACTCGTGTGTTGTCGTTCATTTGGCAGCCATTTTCGGTGTCGCCTCAGTTTACAGCTCGTTTCTCTCAGTCTGCTGGTTGCAATTGTTGCTTTTGTTTGCTTTGTTTCAAGTGTTATTCTTGGTGTTGTTGCTTTTGCTTTTGCTGTTGCTGGGGCAGTGTTTGTTGCAATTATTCGTTGTTTCAGTTTCTTTGGCCGTTTTCTGCTTTTGTATTTCTGTCGCCATTTCAATGTCATTACTGTTGTGCCTGAAATATATAGATAAAAGATTTAAATTTGGTTAAAGTTTGTTGTTGATTTTGATAAGTTGCTAGTAAAGTTAAATTATATATACGTTATCTAGGGTGATCCATAAATCACTAGGTTTTTCTAAATCCTTACAAAATGTAACTAAAAATATGCAATACTGTTTTCTGTATATATTCGGTGCATTAAAATAAATCTATCTAAATTGATATACCTCATGAATTTTAATTGCATAGTTCTTTGCATTTTTCTTCACCTCTTATATATATTTTGGAAATATAAAATTGATAAAGTTGGAAGCTAGAATAGCAAAGTTGGAATCGATTTTATTTGCAGCTCTACCGCATATATACTTTATTTATTTATTATTTTATATCATCCATATTTATTTATATACTTTTTTATACATCCTAATTCTTAAAATACGCGTTAAAATAAGTATTTAAATCACCTGAAACTTGCATGTGAAAACATCAGCTTTAAAGAATTTTAAATGTTTATTATTTGGTCTTTGGATACCCAACTTCCCTAGTTGCGCAAATTAATTGCTTTTCTATTATCCGTAATTTGCCCGATGCTGTTATTTTTCATTTCACACAGTTTAATCTTATTTGCAATTAGATTGAAAATTATTTCCCAGGCTTTTCATTATATTAGGACCATTAAAATTGTAATTGAATTCCAAATGTGGTGATTAACAATTACAGCAGACCGACCACGTATCATGGGGTTACTGAAAAATCATAGAGTCCTGTTTTTTTGGGGGAAAATTATTCAAATGCCAGAGACAAACAATATTTCCACATGCCTCGCTGCCCGATTACACGCCAAATTTATGGCCAAATATTTATCGCTCCGCATATACTCGCACTCGAACATCGGAATAAATTCCCGCGATGCGGCCAAAGCCTTCGACCAATGAAAATCATAAATATTTGCAGCGTAAACAATTTTCTTTCGTGTTTTTGTTGTAGTTTTTTTTTTTTTGTGGTAGGGAGTTTCCGTTTTATTTTTGGGTTTTCACTGCGACTTACTCGCATATTTTTCACGCCGAGCTAAGGACGAATTTTCACGCGCGTTGCACATTATGGAAAGTTACGAGTATTTTGTCGTCCTTTTTTGTGTTGTTGCGCTCGCTGAGCGTGTAACGGTTTCATTTTGTCCTTGTTTTTCGTTTTCGCTGCAGGACCGCCGACTTTTCCACGATCCACTCTACACAATGGATATATGCATGGCGGTCTGGCCCGCCGGCGTAGCCATCCCAGAGACGATGTCGGTCGGAATTGATTAATGTGTTTTTTGTGCAACGATTCGAGGGAAAGGCGGCCAAAGTGGGGGCCACTGCGGGTGCCAGAGCAAGTGGTGGGTCTGCCGCTGTCGATTGCAGCTTGCCAGTGATAACGATGAGTAGAAAAACAACAGTACGCGCGCCGCCCCACCTCTGCCAGTGATTTATGAATGTTGTTCGGGGCCTTGCAACGCATGACCCCAAAACACTGTCCGCCAGCAGCAGCGCCAGAAACCAGCGCCGAATAGCCGGCAAGTCAATGAGTGCCACTGGGAATTTGTGGCATACGTATACTATTCGCACCAGCATACGGCCAGCGAGAGAGGCGGCGAGAGAAAATTGCAGAAAAGCAGGCGGTGCAAAAAATAGTTGCATAATTTTAAATTAGACGCTCAGACATGGAGCAGACAACCTGGACGGAAGCTGGAGCACCGAAAGAAAAAAAACATTTTTCAGACCTTACAATAAAATATAAAGTTTAAAATAGAAATTGTTTTGAAGGAAATATTGTAGTTTTTAAATCAAAAATATTTAGTTATGATGTTATGACATTTCTGCCCAAAAAATATTGTGATACTACCTTATGACCTTCATTTAGTTATGGTTAGTTATGGTATTATGACACTGCATTGTTTATTTCATTTGTTAGCTCTAAATAATGTATTTATGTTATAATGACCCTACATTTTTATACCCTTGCAGGGTATTATAATTTCAGTCAGAAGTTTGCAACGCAGTGAAGGAGACGTTTCCGACCCTATAAAGTATATATATTCTTGATCAGCATCAACAGCCGAGTCGATCTAGCCATGTCCGTCTGTCCGTCTGTCTGTCTGTCCGTCTGTCCGTCTGTCCGTCTGTCTGTCTGTCCGTCTGTCTGTCTGTCCGTCTGTCTGTCTGTCTGTCTGTCTGTTTCTACGCAAACTAATCCCTCAGTTTTAAAGCTATCTGAATGAAACTTTGCATATAGTCTTCTATATGCTCTCACTGCTATATATGTCGGAACGGGCCGGATCGGACGACTATATCATATAGCTGCCATACAAATGTTCGATATATTTGTAGAAAAAAAATTATAACTTTGCTGTTTTTCAACATTTTTGCAACATTTTTTAGGTATGGACATATTATATTATTTTAGAATTTTGGTAAAAATTTTATGAAAATCGGACGACTATATGATATGGCTGCCATAGGAACGGTCGAGAAATAAATAAGAAAAAAAATTATAGTTTCGTTGTTTTTCAACGTATGTTTATCTACTCTAAGATATAAGCTTTTTTTATTAATCTAGAATTATGGTATAAATTTCATAAAAATCGGACAACTATATCATATAGCTGCCATATAAACCGATCGGTAGATGTAGAGAAAATGTAAAACTGGGAATGTAAAACTGTAACTGTCAAACTGAAAACATAAAAAGTATAGGTAAAATGTAATGAAACTCTGTTTTGTGAGCGTTTTCAGCATTTAAATCTATAATATAAACCTCAAAACCAATCTGCAAGGGTATAAAAACTTCGGCGTGCCGAAGTTAGCTTCCTTTCTTGTTTTATGTTTATTTATTAGATCCGAAAAATATAATAATGTCTTAATGACACTAAATTTTTATTTTCATTCATTGAAGGCTTGAGGAAGTAGCATGGTCACACTTGACTCTCTTATAATAAAGTAAAAATATTAAATATATTGCTTGTATATTAACACAAATTTGTATAAAATAGTTAATCAGATTTGTAGAACTATTATTGGTTTTATTTAAATATATAACAAATATATTAAATTAATAGTATGCGATAAATATTGATGTAAATTGTTTTTTTGGGTGCCTGAAATGGACTACTAGAAAAAAAAGGGAAATGGGAATGGGTAGCAGACTAGGTATGGAAAGAGTGAGGAGGCTGGAAACGGGGAGACGAATCCAGAGGGGAATGAGAAAACAGAAGGTAATGGGCTCGGGGAAAGGGAGACTGAATCAGAGACAGCGGCGTCAGCAGACAGCAGATGACGCCGGCAACCAGACGGAAACTGATGCCGATGTTTTTTCCAGCCAGCTTGTTGCACAAGAGAACACGAAAATAACAGAATTCTAGGGAAAGAGAAACTCTCTGGATGTAATGGAAAATTTTGGAATCAGGCGCAGCCAAAGATGAAGATTTTTGCCAATTAAATCCAGAAAATCATATTTCCACAATGGTATTAAAGAAATCAAAATAAAATTAAACTTTTCAACAGTAATAAAAGTTAATTCGAGACTTTTAAGCAAAAGACTTGTTTAAAGTCACAGACATTTCCCTTTTAATGACTTCTTCAAGGGCTTTCCTCTGTAACCCATATGCCTGAAGCTTTTGTAGCGAAGCCAGCATGTTGTTTTTAACATTTTTATGGCTCCAGGCCACACTCCTCCCGATTTCGTCCTGCATTTGGCCATTACAATGTCTGGCGTCAGTGGAAGTTGCCACGGATTCGTGCAGCGTAAAAATAAACCCCCGGAGAGTCGAACCGGGGACGAAAACTGGACGCTGTCTAGTCGTGCATTAAATTGCTAATAAGTTTTAATGGGGCCAACTTTGTCTCAGCCAAATTTGCAGACTTAAAGCAGAGGATTTTCATTTAAATGGCTGCCTCTTAACTCAATGTCAAAGCGATTTGCCTGCGATATTCCACAACCCTGAGACCGTAAACAGAAGCTATTTTCTTTATCACGGCACTGGCTTATCAGCCGGGAGCCACACACTCACACACCGATATGGAGATATAGCTATTCCCGTATCTGTTTACGAGCCAGAAGATGGATATGGAGCTGCTGCCGCTTTAATGGATCTCAAAGGGATGGCGTCGATATCAGCTGTCGTCGAGCACAAGGATGTGCGAAAGGATGTGCCTCTCATCTCTCTCCCCTTCGTCTTGACTTGCCTAACCCCTCACACATATCACTCCACATATGCAAAATAGTTGCACATAAAAAGTGCTGAAGGACTTGGCGAATCCCTGCAGCCAAAGGCGGCGGCTGTCAGTTGTCGTTACTGTGGCCGCCACTGTGTTGGGATTGTCGGTAGTCATCATCGTCTTTATCGTCATTTCTCTGGCTCTGGAACTGGATCTGGGAGCTGGAGCAGGCTCCCACTCATCCGCAGTAACTTTCTGCGGCAAGCCGGAATGGAATCTGACTTATGGTACACCCGAAATTTTTTACCAAGGCTTCTCACAGGAAACTAATCATGTACTAATGTGCGAAAATGATTTCTTTTACAAGTTATTTGCGGAACAAATTAAAACGTAACATATAATTTATATCTTATAACTTCCTACAACTATTTACGGTGTGTATTTATTTTTCTAAACTTTGCTTAACTGCCCACTAAATTACAATCTTAAGCTGATATTAAATGCATAGCTAACCCTTTTTTTCTCTGTACACCTCACTCTGCGTGTCCTTTCTGCTCTGTTCCTTCTCTCATTTTGCCCCCAAACAAAGTTTGTATCAATGGCGCAGCGGAAAGGGAAGTGCATGCAGCCACATACACACATTCCCTCAGACGGATGTAGCATTGGGGTGCGTGTGACTTTAAATTTTGTTGAATATGCGAGGGCGTTCTGCCCTGTGACTTCTGTGGTTCAATGCATCCCATGCTAGCCTCTGAAGCCTCATTAGCGCTGCGATTCGCTGCCAAAATGCCAAATGATAATTGCGGCAATTTGGACCCGAAA